TACCTCTCTGTTGATACTGTATCACATATATTATCCTGACACTGAATGTCAGCACTTGGTGGTCTATAGCAGCACCCCACAAGAATGGGCATTAGGTGAGGCAGGTGAACCTGTAGCCATATTACTTCAAACAGTATTTGACATGAGATCCTCTAAGCCTTACCAGAATGTGGCTCTGAACATAGACCGCAACACCACCCCGGTTGGCATTTCTGTCTTTTCTGTAGATGTTATAACCATGTATTGCTACCACTATATCAAAAGGTATTATCTAAGTGAGTTTCAGAGATAGTCAGTATATGAATGTCATCTGTTACTAGCAAGCGTTGAGCCTTTTACTTTCAGTTTTGTTCCACCAGCTTCAAACGGCTGTAAAAACTATATTTTTTGTTATTTAAAATATATTTCACAGCGTAAACTGAAATTGAGCGAACAGTGTAGAATTTTTACAACCAGGAAATAACATTAGCGGCAGATGGACATTTTCTGCAAAAAATGCAAAAAATTCCAGAAACGGACTCAACTGCACGAATGCCCAGCTGTCCCGCCTTCAGTCAGCTGTTCATTCCCCCCCCCCCCCCCAAAAAAAGTGAGTTAATTTATTTTATTGACGTCTACATCCACTACACCCATAATCGTCGGTCCATAAACAATCCACCCCCCCCCCCCCCCCCCCCCATTTGCAAGTTACACAGTGATATGTATAAAAGGGGAAAATATTTGCACACAAAAAGTAGTAAATAAGGGGCTGTTTGAAAGGGGATCATATAAACATAGCACTTTTTTTCCCCCGGTAATATACCACATGTCTGAAATGGATATTATTATAGTGCAAACACTTACAGACTCCGGTATGGGCACCTCCAACTGTGTGCCTGTGGGAGCGCGGATTGCTAGGAGGGTGTCACCTGTGGAGACCAAACAGAGATGGGGTGAGTGGGAAGAAAATAAACAAAGGAGGTAGCAGAATTTAAAAAAGGGGAAAAACTGACAGAAAGACATAAGAAATGTATGAGAGAAATTTACCTTTGAATGCACTGCAGAGGTCTTCGTGTTTTACATAAGCCATAGTGTGTTTGTGTTAAGGGAAAGAGCTCATGTATTTAATGTAAGAAACCCAGCAAACTCCTCGCTGATTGACCACATTTTTACAAATAGCCCCCACAAGTACTTATTGAGTGGTGTCTTTGCTAATGACATCAGTTATCACTGTCCTACTGCATGTTTTAGAGATACCAAACAGAAAAACATTCATCCTCGTATAATTATGAAGCGAAATAAACAAAATGTAAAATATCCCCAGCCGAAGCTTCCCTTTATAAGATGCATGCCGGACCCTGAATTAGCTCTAGAACTTCATCTATTTTTATATCTCTGGCAGACAAACACACCCCCTTTAAATGCCTTGGAGTTAAATATAGGCCAAATCCTTGGTTCTCTATAGTACTTTCAGATCTCATTATGATGAGAAATCAGGCCTGGTCCAAGGCTAGAAAAACTGACTCGGTAGCTGAATGGCAGCGTTTTCGGCAATTGAGAAATAATGTACTTCCTCAATTAAGAAAAGCTAAATCAAGCTCCTTTCTAAGTTCTCTCAGACTGCTGGTGATCCATCAATTTTGGAAAACAGTTAATGCACTCAAGCGTGGAAATTCTTTTCCTTCCCTGCCTAAGCAAGTTGTCAGACTGGCATCTTTACTGAGAAAAATGAAACAAGTGATGCTTTTAAATCAGCATTTTCTCTCAACAGGCTTTTTATTTGAAAGAAATGGTGGTTAAATGGACCGTTGTCAGTCAGTAGACTGCGCTTCCCTCTCCCAGCCTCCACTTGGCTCTTTCGAACATCAGTCAACTTCCAGTCAATCTTTTTATTTCAACAACTTTCTACTTGTGATGTGCTAGATGCCTTGCTTAAGATTGATGCAAAAAAATCCACTGGGGCTGATTTGCTTGAGCCTTTCTTGCTGCCGCTTTCTGCTCCTGATTGCGGAATCAGTAGCTGGGTTGACGACAGATTTTCATGCGAATATTCTAAAATCAGCATAAAAACAATATGCACATTTTCCCACCAGAGATGTATTTCAATCAAATTAACTTGTTGCAGATAAAAAGGCTGTGTGTGATGACATAGTGCACATAAAAATACCTTTTGCAGTAAAATGTCCATGTACCGAATAAAAAAATACAAGTTAAATGGGTTTCCATCGCATTTTCAACACTACTGATTGTTCTCACACCAAAAATGTTTGCATTATATAGTGAGTGTGTCCACTCTGGTATTGGCACGTGCGCTCTAGCCTACATTATGAGATTATATGGACAAAAGAGCAAAATGTCTAAAAACCTGTTTTTGCTTTGTCATTATGGGGTATTGTGTGTAGATTGATGAGGGGGGGAAATATTTACATCGATTTTAGAATAAGGCTGTAACGTTACAAAATGTGGAAAAGGGGAAGGCGTCTGAATACTTTCCGAATGCACTGTAATTGTTTGAAACCTGAATGTTTTAATACATATGAGGCATGTCTTACCTTGCTTCAAAGTAGCCTATTAGATCTCCTCTCTTTCATAATTTCTAACGTATGTCACATGAACTTTTGACAAAGGTGTTTTCTACTCATTTCATTATGGAGCGAACATTTGCGCCTAGCCCTACTGCTTTGTTGCGCTTATAATGTATACAAATATTTTAAGCTAAACGTTTTGATCTGTTGCAATAAACTTTTCCAACAGTCAGCTACAAAAATGTATCCCCTCTATGCATTCTCTGATGTTGTACCAAATGTTCATTTCGTTTTAGGTTTTTCTTCACACAGCAGCTATAACATTTCTCTCTGATGGTGTTCCTAGTTTGAACGTTGACTGAAACGCTTCCCACAGTTGTTATTTGTATGTAGCCTAGGGCCTACTGGTTGTATGAATTTGGGATCCATCTTCCCACAACTGTCCCTGATTCTGTTTGGAATAGCCTATTTCTTTCTCGACAAGCTGACCAATAGAATAGCTAAACTTTTCTACTATGGGGGATAATAGATTGACAGAGGCTAGTGATTTTGCAGTTCGTTACTCGTTCGTTCTTGTTGGCTGAGGAAAAGTAAATGTGGACAGTTATTCTAACATCTTCAAAGTGCACATCAGAATTTGGTAACAAGGACTGCACATCGTTGTATCCTGGACTTGCATGTTCTGTTATGAATTACCATAATTTAAATGTGATTTCTGTCATTCTGAGCACCGTGGGTGGACGCCCTAATCAGTTTATGCACCCAATGTCTGGTAAATTAAAATGTTGCCGGTCAAATGTCCAGCGCCACATTTTCCTAATGGAAACCCTGCTTCCGCCGTACCTTACTTCATTGTTAACTTATAGACGTACAAGATACCAGACATGGGATGGCTAACTCTGGAGATCCCTTTGATCTCCACTGAGTTAGGTAAATCTGCTTTTAGTTTATTTGCACCTTACTTGTGGAATAGGCTCTCTAAAATTAGATGAATTGGTGCCTCTAGGACAATTGAAAAGGCTGAGGACCTTTTTACTGAAGAATGTGTTTGTTCTCCATGATTGTGTTTTGCTTTTAGTGTATGGATGTGAATATTGATGTGTATATTGATGCGTTTTTTATGTGTATTGACATGTATGCAGGGCTTATCTGAGAAAGAGACAATCTCAGCATGACTCCCTGTCGAAATAAAGGTTAGATTTTTTTTAAAAGTATTTACTACTGCAACGTGAATTTAAGAGCTAAGCATTGAGCAAAAAATCTGATCACTACCACCTAAAGCAGTGGTCACCAACCATTTCTGAGTCAAGATCACTTTGAGTGAAAATGCAAGCCGAGATCTATCACTCAAATTTTTAAAAATGACCACTTAAAAAACGTAAGCCTATGCAACATCACCTGATTCAAAAAAGTTATGTAGTTGTGCAGTATAGAACCAACTATATAACCAATACTGGATATTGGCTATGATTGAATTGCCCTGCCAATGTTGTTCTTCTCAGACAATTTTGAAATTATATGAAAAAAATGGTATATGATCACACTGATAACAATTTTTTAGCGCTCATCGCGCTCTAACAACTCCTTGTGGCGGGCCGGGCACCTGCAGGATGACTTCGGTCATCAGTTGAACAGTGTTTCCTCTGACACATTGGTGCAGCTGGCTTCTGGGTTAAGCGAGCGGGTGTTAAGAAGCGCGGCTTGGTGGGTCATGTTTCGGAGGACGCATGACTCAACCTTCGCCTCTCCCGAGCCCGCTGGGGAGTTGCAGCGATGAGACAAGATCGTAATATCACGAAATTGGGGAGAAAAGGGGGCGTACAAATTACACCAAATAAATACAAAAGTTTGTTTTTTTTAAGACACAAGCCGCTAATAATAACAACGCAAGCTTATCGGAACACTTTGCTATACTCATTCATTGCAGCTGCAGTGCTGGTTTTAGCATGTGGAAGTAGGGAGAATGTCAATTTTATGGCTTATAAAAAGGTGTTGAACAAAGTGTTGACATTGCTGAATAACAACTTTAACATAAATTTACACATAAAAACAAAAACAAAAAAAACTCTCTAGTCATGGTTTTAAGAGTTTTGAAATCTCACAGTATCAACTTTGCTGTCCTTTCGAGGCTTCTTTTTACAGTCTATGGCTCGAGGAAACTCTACAGACATGGTGATCTGAGCTATCTGATTGGCCAGCGGTAGGCCTATAGGTACACTTCACTTGCTTTCTGGGCGGAGTTCTACCTTCAGACACATGAAATGGTTCAAAATGGGTACACTTTGCCTTCCCGGTGCTAGGGCTGCTGAATCAAGTGCACCTACCGCCAACAGCGCAAAACAAATTTAAAAAATTGAAAAGCAAGGCTTTAACGTTTTTTTACAGAAATGTTTGGTGATCGACTAGGAATGCCTTGGGGATTGACTGGTTGGTGACCACTGATCAAAAGCATTTTAGGGTGCAGTGCACCTTAACCCATCTGCTAAGCTTTGTGACAACTAGATAGAGGGATTGTAGTGAAGGATATGGGCTATTCTGTGAGTCGTCCGTCACGTTCTTGATGCTCTGCTGGACCCAGACCCTCTGCTGATCCAACTCGTGCTCCCTCTTGTCCAGATCATCCAGCTCTACCTTTAGATCAATGAGCTTATCAGCTATCTCCCGTGTGTTACAGCCAGGCCCAACACCCCTGGGGACAGGAAACACAGGTATCACAAAGAGATAACACACACATAGACTAGACAACAGTCAAGGGATAGGCATAGGTAGGAACGCTCATTATCTGAGGACAGCTTAAACACGCTAATAGTTTGTGAATGGCAAGGGGTGCCACCCAAGATTTACTAACAGAGCTCGTAATGCATGTTCCTCTGCATGTCCTTGACTTACTTCCACTGAATACTGTTCTTGGACTTCTTCTCGATCAATCCGATGCCTTCGAGCACATTGGTGATGTCGTAGATGCGGCGCTTCTGTCGTACAGCTAAGGTGTCTGCTGCCTGTGGGAGCGAAAGAGTGGTCAATGTTATTCATACATCAGTGTATACAGCAATTTGGGGGTCCATTGACCAATTCCACCGTGAGAAACAAAAGGACTAATACATAGTAGATTATATAACATCAAGGGAGCTTCACTATTCATGAGATGCAAAGTCACAAATAGCGGCAAAGTCACAAATAGCGGAGTGTCGTTTCATGCTTGTGTTCAACAAGCACTTACAGCAATAAACATATGGCTAGTGCTGATAACTGATGGTTCATCCTCATTGCTGCTAGGGATGACATCTATTCCGTTGTGGTCTGTCACACCCAGTCTAAACTAAACTAAACAACACATCCAGGGACCTACCCTAGATAAAGAGCACGGTTTTGTCAGCATAATTGAACCCATGTTAAATGGTGACTTGCGGTTTGATTTGTATTCAACATAAAAGTCTGTGTGTGTTGCTCTGAGTCTGACACCAGGTTGTGGTTTCTGAACACAAGTAACAGGTTGCTGGCTGACCAAATCCAGTTCATAACAACAATGTGCAGCCTTGCTTGCTTCAGTGAGTCTGCAGGGGGCAGAATAGAACAAGTTAGCTGGCTAGCCAACTTTACATGTGCGTTGTGAACAACATTAGCACGAGCGACAAATTCTAAACAGTTTACACAAATATGAATGTCGTAGCTCTTATTGCGGGACTTTAACTGTGGGAAATCACCTTACTATTTAGACTATTGTGCGTCTTGGCCATTCATATTGCAATGTATAGCCTTACCTATAGATCTTGGGTCCATGAAATGGGGTATCAGCCTACCTTATGGTTCATGGACCCAAGATCCATAGGTAAGGCTATACATTTCAATATGAATGTTCAATACACATAACTTGACTTGTGACCTTAATGTTGCTGATTTTGCAGTGGTTTCAGAGTCCCGTACCATTTAATGGACCCAAGATCCATAGGTAAGGCTGTACATTGCAATATGAATGTCTAATACGCACAATAGACTGAATTGTGAGGTGATTTCCCACAGTTAAAGTCGCTAATATTTGTGTAAACTCCTTAGAATTGTAATCTGTGGGTGTCACTGAGTAGGCTGATATCAAATTTCATGAACCCAAGAGCCATAGGTAAGGCTGTACATTGCAATATACAGTGCATTCGGAAAGTATTCAGACCCCTTGACTTTTTCCACATTTTGTTACGTTACAGCCTTATTCTAAATTGGATTAAGTTGTTTTTTTCCCCCTCATCAATCTACACACAATACCCCATAATGACAAAGCAAAAACAGGTTTAGAAATTTTTACAAATGTATTAAAAATAAATAACTGAAATATCACATTTACATAAGTATTCAGACCCATTACCCAGTACTTTGTTGAAGCACCTTGGGCAACAATTACAGCCTTGAGTCTTCTTGGGTATGACACTACAAGCTTGGCACACCTCTATTTGGGGAGTTTCTCCCATTATTCTCTGCAGAGCCTCTCAAGCTCTGCCTGGTTGGATGGGGAGCGTCGCTGAGATATTCGATCGGGTTCAAGTCCGAGCTCTGGCTGGGACACTCAAGTACATTGAGAGAGTTGTCCGGAAGCCAGTCTTGCGTTGTCTTGGCTGTGTGCTTAGGATCGTTGTCCTGTTGGAAGGTGAACCTTCGCTCCAGTCTGAGGTCCTGATCGCTCTGGAGCAGGTTTTCATCAAGGATCTCTCTGTACTTAGCTCCGTTCAGCTTTCCCTAGATCCTGACTAGTCTCCCAGTCCCTGCCACTGAAAAACATCCCCTCATCATGATGCTGCCACCACGCTTCACCGTAGGGATGGTGCCAGGTTTCCTCCAGAAGTGACGCTAGGCATTCAGGCCAAAGAGTTCAATCTTGGTTTCATCAGACCAGAGAATCTTTTTTCTCATGGTCGGAGAGTCCTTTAGGTGCCTTTTGGCAAACTCCAAGCAGGCTGTCATGTGCCTTTTACTGAGGAGTGGCGTCCATCTGGCCACTCTACCATAAAGGCCTGATTGGTGGAGTGCTGCAGAGATGTTTGTCCTTCTGGAAGTTTCTCCCATCTCCACAGAGGAACTCAAGACAATCGGGTTCTTGTGTGCCGTTCCAAATCATGTCCAATCAATTGAATTTACCGCAGGTGGACTCCAATCAAGTTATAGAAATATCTCAAGGATGATCAATGGAAACAGGATGCACCTGACCTCAATTTCGAGTATTATAGCAAAGGGTCTGAATACTTATGTAAATAAGGTATGTATTTATTTATTTTTTATATAAATTAGCAAAAATGTCTACAAATCTGTTTTTACTTTGTCATGGGGTATTGTGTGTAGATTGATGAGGGAAATATTTGTTTTAATCCATTTTAGAATAAGGCTGTAACGTAACAAAATGTGGAAGAAGTCAAAGGGTCTGAATACTTTCCGAATGCACTGTAAGTATGCCCCCAATGCAAGTCTGAAGTCTAATGCATCCAGTGTGACAACTGAATTTTTTGTGTTGTTGTCAAATTACCTTGTCTTTTGTTGAATTTACATCACAGTACAAAATTCCAACTTTGTTTAGCATTATCTAGTCCAATTGTGGCATGACTCCACTATTAGTAACCGTTTGCATCAGTTTCAATAGCGACTTTTATTTTGAAGGCTTCCTGCACTATTGTTGGTCACACTAATGTTGTTCACAACACACACGTCCAACTTTTCGTAAGTTTAGAGGAAGGGCTAGGTAGCTAAAACAAGCTTTGAACTATTCAATGACCTCGTTAGACATAAATAGAATAAACACTTGACCCAATGTATCACTGATGAGCTGGCCGCTAGCAATGCTGCTAGTCACACAAGGTAAATTAACATCCGCGTGCCAACAACAAAGAGTGAGGCATGCTTACTGCTTTCAGGTCTAGAACTCCATCCTTGGCCTCTTGTAGCAAAGTTACAAATTTGGTTGTAAGCAATCCTAGACTCTTCTCGTGTCGACTTGGGGTTTGAGGTTGAAGCGAATCTCCCATAGCTCCAAGTTCGGTTCTTCCCGACTCCAGTTCCATCTGATTAGGAAGTCTTGTTCAGATCCGTAGCTAGCTGCCTCCCGGTTTAGTCCCGAACTCACCTGCTAGCCAATGCTAACGTCAGCTAGCTACAGCAGGTAGCCCCTTTCACTCGCTGTGCTTTGTTTGACTATATAAACTACTTTGCACGGTAATGGTAGGAGAATCCAATATGGTCCGGTCCAGATTCTTGACCTATTAATCCAGAACAGGCCAACAAAATATTTAAATGTGCATAAAGTCAGAAGCCGTTGCACACGCGAAGTATGCTGGGATGGTTGGTTTAATTGGTTAGTGAAACTGAAGCCAAGGGGCCGTCTGCAAAAGATTAGCTACTTTGAAAAATCTACACTGTAAAATGTAATCGATGTACTTGACAAGAAAGTCAACTGTTTCTATTAAAACATTTTGCAATATTTAATATTACCTCACCACAGCTGATAAATTAGACCATAGTTCTATGCCTTTATGCGCAAATATTGATATATTATACAACGGGTGGGGGTCCGCATTCCAGCCGGTGTTTATTCCACAAATTGAAATGCCTATTTACTCTGTTCCATCTCACTGCGCAATCCAATGTTTCATCAGCCCAGCCAGACAATTTATAAACTTGATCTCCATAGTCAAAAGTATCTAGACATTATCTCCAATTTCTTTTAGACTTGGAGTCGCGATAATATGGTGTGTGGTCCTCCCACTATGACTCTGGAAACCATGTGGTTTATTAGTCTAATAAATTATGATAAACTTCACAGGGTGGTGAAAGTGTAAGGTGATCTTGATGCTCCTTTTCCAATAAATATCGATGGTCTTATTCTGGTGACATGATGATTGATGCTTGACTGCCGTTTGACAAATAAAAAGATTCTCGCTTTTATCCATAATAATCTCATCATGTAGACTAGCCTACCTGCACTCTATCTGCAAACTGTTGGCTAGAGCGCAGGTGCCAAGACCAGAGTAGGCACATTTGCTATTCAACACAACAGTTTTTGTGACAACTATCGGTAGAGTTGAAAATGCGATGGAAACAGATTGAACTTTAGATTTGTATTCGGTACATGAAAATTTAAGCGAAAAAGTAAATGTTGTGTGCACCACGTCATCACGCACTGATTTTTGATCTGCAACAAATCCATTGGGTGGAAACACCACTGGTGGGAAAATGTGCATATTTTAAAATATTTGCATGAAAATCTTTCGACAATTGGATGGAAACCTAGTTAGTGTCAATGACTGTGTGAGAAATAGAGAAGTCTATACAACAAAACTTGTTTTTGGTGCAAATGTATGTGTATACTTCGGACGCCGACGCGCATGCGTGTACGCGCATGTCTATATAGCTTTGGAGAAGAGTAGAGCAAAGTGCGGTCACTGCAGTAGTTGGAACTGAACAACAAGTATGTTGGGCTCGTTCGTTCTGCTGTGGATATGTATCTGTCTCCTCTTATTCTTCTTCCTGAAGTTTAATAGACCCCAAAACTTTCCTCCTGGTCCACAACCCATTCCAATATTTGGGAATCTGCTGCATCTGAGCTTGGGGAATCCTATGAAAGACCTGGAGAAGGTAAGCCTTGTATAAAACTCTATTATGCTATTTTAGCTCTCATGAAGAATCAATAAGCATTACTTGGATGTTTCAGATGAAATCCATAATTCCTTTTTGCAATATGAATATAACATCTATCAAATAGTTTTATCAAAGTAACCTTTGCACATAGGTCTATAATTGCGTAATAAGTGGGGCTGTGTATGCAGTTTATGTTGCCTGTAATCTCAAGGCCATACATTGCTGATTGGATCAGTTTTACTCAATTCAACAATTCCATTAGGAAAATAGCCTTTAAAGGTGCACTATGCAACTGCAACACTATGCACCTTCAATATACTTAAAGTGTTGGTTCACAATTTTTTAAAACCAAATCTACATTTGTTATGTAAATGGCATGTTATAGAAGGGTCCAGATACTTTTTTTTTGCGATTTCACTTGGTTTTGAGAAACTATCCACACCCAAAATAGACTAACTCATTGCTCGTTCTGCAGTATGGGGGCTATGGAAAACATTAACAAAGGCTCCAAAATCACCCAAATACGTCCTTTTAGAAACGACAAAGCTCTCAGTATAGTGAAGCAGCTGAGTCGCACAAATGGAATATAACGTTGTGGATAAAGTTCGGAATTACGCAATTCACAGTTCATGTTTTCCCATAGCTCCCATACTGCAGAACGAGCAATGACGAAGGTCTATTGCAGGTGGGGATAGTTTCTCAAAACCAAATGAAATTACTAAAAAAGTGTCTGGACCCTTCTATAACATGCCATTTACATCAAAAATAAAGATTTGGTTTAAAAATAGTGAGCCAATCCTTTAATATGTTCATTTCCGTAGTTGGCAAAGCGCTATGGGAATGTTTTCAGTCTTTATATTGGTGGAAGGCCAGCTGTGATTCTCAATGGGCTTGAAGCTATGAAGGAGGCCCTGGTTACCAGGGCTGCAGATTTTGCAGGAAGACCCCAAGACCTTATGGTCAACCACGTCACAGAAGGAAAAGGTAATAGTATCCAAATATACAGTACAGGACATTATTGATATCAACAAGAAAACACTTCAATCTATTACTGTGAAGAGCTCTGTTCTGAAACAACCTTTTCTTTATATTCCTGTTTTTTCCACTTAAGAACGTAACTATCATTTGATTGATATGTCAATAAATACTGACCAATTGTAATAAACTATCCCAGGTGTCATTCTTATGGACTATGGCTCCAGCTGGAAAGAGCATCGTCGCTTCGCCCTAATGACCCTGAAAAACTTTGGTCTGGGGAAGCAGTCCATGGAGGAGAGGATTCTGGGGGAGATATCACACATCATTGCACCCTTGGCGAAAAGCGTTGGTACGAAAGTGGAACATAGAAAATTGTTATTTGTTTTGTAGGAACGTAACATAGCCATTTAACAGATGTCCTTATACAGATGACCCTCTTGCTCAACGTTAAAGAGAACAAAGTATCTCTTATCAAAGTAATATTGTTATTTTTCCACAGGAAAATCCATGAACCCTCAGGTTCTCTTCCACAATGCTGCATCCAATATCATCTGCCTTGTCCTCTTTGGGTCACGTTATGACTATAACGATGAGTTTCTTAAGACCTTCGTGAAGCTCTACACTGAGAACGCAAAGATCGCCAATGGACCCTGGGCTATGGTATTATACATAATTACAGCTTTTTGGTAACTGTATACTTACATAAAACAGCATAGAACAATGTTAATTACATTGCTTCCTGTAAATCACACCTTTTGGTTTGAAAGCAGATATGGATGGTAGATCATTAGGCAGGTTTCCATTGACCCAGATTTATTCTAAAAAAGCAATGTGGCACAAAAAATCATTGTGACGTGTAATGGAAATGGCAGATATGAGACATTTTCTAAAGATCCACAACATTTTTACCATTCGACAGGTGGATTTTTATTTTGTCTAACTTTATATATTGCGACAAATTATGATGGAAATGGTGTTTTTATAATAAAACTAAAGCTCCACTTCACATTTAATTCTAAATGCCTACGTCTTGCAAAATCATTTTTTTCAAATATACAAATAATGTTTATTTGCAGGACAAGAATTGTCCTGACTTTCAAGAATGCCTGAATTGCTTCGCCTTGCTTTTCTGGTTAGCTGGCAAGATTCACCATCCAATTATTTCAGATCTACAGGAGTGCAAGTTTCACCATGGCACGGACCATGGCGATACGTTGGCACATGATAATTATTATCCATGCTGGCTTTCGTGGGCTAACTGAGACATGAAATAGAAAGGTGGGAGGACTTACAGGCTGTTGGCAATTTATTAATGCGCAATTTGCCTAAATGGGTAATGGAAACTTCAACCACTACATTTTTATTAGACACTGTATATATTTGTTTTTGTTGTTGTTGGTGTGACGTCATTACGTCCAGCTGTTTTCATCAACACAAGATAGTTAAATGGAAACACACCCTAGCAGGCAATTGTCACATCTATTTTTTGTTATGCGAACTTTCCAAATCTCGACAAAAAAATCATTGGACAAGTTCATGGAAGCATAACGAATGGTTGGTTCAATAGTAGTTCTGACTCATTACTTGGTCTTTCTCCACAGCTTTATGACACAGTGCCCATGCTCCGACACCTTCCCTTGCCATTCCAGAAGGCCTTTCAAAATGCAATTTGTTGCAAACAGATGTCTCTTGGACTAGTCACTCAGCATAAGGAAACCAGGATTCCTGGGGAGCCAAGGGACTTCATTGACTGCTACCTGGATGAACTAGAAAAAGTGTGTTCATTTTGTTTATGGGAGTTTAAGTGTTTAGATGAGAGGGTTAGACCACATCATCTATCATTATGACTAGTTAGTACAGTGCCTTCAAAATCATCACAGTTTTAGTCTGACACTGCTGTACTCTCCCCACTAGAGAGGAGATGATGGATCTTCTTTTTCAGAGGACCAACTCATAATGTACATCCTGGACTTGCACTTTGCTGGAACAGACACCACCTCCAACACACTGCTCACTGCTTTTCTATACCTCATGACCCACCCAGAGATTCAGGGTCTGTTTGCTTTATTTTCTAATGCTGACATTGAAAAAGCATCTTTCTACTACTACAGTTGTAGCAGTTGTAGATTATTCCTCAAGAAAAAAGGTGTCAGGCAATGTTGATAAGCCCTTTTGAATTCAGCCCTTTTTTGCCAACATCCCTTCCCTTTGGTCTTCTCAGAGAGGTGTCAGCAGGAAATTGACACAGTTCTGGAGGGGAAAGAACACGCATCTTTTGAGGACAGACACAGGATGCCTTACACTCAGGCAGTGACCCACGAGAGTCAGCGCATCGCCAGTACTGTCCCCCTCAGTGTGTTTCATAGCACCACCAGAGACACTGAGGTGATGGGCTACAGTATCCCAAAGGTGAGAAGCAGCAATACATCTAAAATGTCTTGTCTTCTCATTTCAAAATCTCTAACATAATGTTCCTTATTTCTTCTCCACTTTGATATGTCTCATATTGCTCTCTCTCTCTCTCTCTCTCTCTCTCTCTCTCTCTCTCTCTCTCTCTCTCTCTCTCTCTCTCTCTCTCTCTCTCTCTCTCTCTCTCTCTCTCTCTCCTCTCTCTCTCTCTCTCTCTCTCTCTCTCTCTCTCTCTCTCTCTCTCTCTTTCTCTGTTTCTTACTTGCAGGGCACTTTGATCATTCCAAACCTTACCTCTGTGCTGTCTGAAGAGGGTCAGTGGAAGTACCCCCATGAGTTCAACCCCTTAAACTTCCTGAACGAGCAGGGCGAGTTTAAGAAGCCTGAGGCCTTTATGCCGTTCTCTGCAGGTGAGGGATAGAGCAACTCAAAGTGCATCACTGCTGTTGTTGACATCATAATACATAAAGGGCTCATACAGTTTGTTGTTGTTCCAGGGCCCAGAATGTGTCTTGGAGAAGGACTCGCTCGCATGGAGCTCTTCCTGATCATGGTAACTCTGCTGCGACGCTTCAAGTTTGTCTGGCCTGAGGATGCAGGGGAACCTGACTACACCCCTGTGTTTGGTGTAACCCTGTCCCCCAAACCCTACAGACTGGGTGTAAGACTGAGAGGGAACTAGTTAGGGGGAAGATATTCTAGACAGAGATCAAATAGGATTGGTGTAATATTGTAATATAATATAATATTCAACTATCTATATGTATTTGTGCTTAACACATTTTTGTTTTTAATTTGTCACAATTTGCTTATGTGAATATGTAATATAGGACTCATTACACACACCCTTGATGGGGAAAACTCACTAGTGAACCCTACAGGGATATCTGATGTTATAGGCATTCAGTACCAGTTTTACTGGATAGTACTTTCAAAACTTATTGTGGGAATCTGTGGCTTGATGAATTCTAAATAAAAAATGTAATGTGAGAAATTGTACTGCAATGTACTTTATCTATACAGCACCTTTCACACAGTTCATGGTCAGTTTATGATAGGACATCTTGCTGTTACACATAGCTGCTAATTAGCCTGATATATTTTTTTATCAGACCTGTAAATATTGACATAGTTACAATGTTGAAAGTAAGTTAAAACATGACATGATTTCAATATCCAGACATTGTTCTTCTGTGCGTGACGATAGGTGTTAAAACCTGAATACAGTTGAAAATGTGTAAATGGGGTTGCGTGACAAGGACCAAGTTACGGCTTTAATTCAAAAAGGGATCAAAATGGCTGCTATTTAATTAGGATCAATTTGAGATGATAAAACTCAAATGAAACTATTTATAGAGCACATTTCTTACAGGAGATGCATTTCAAAGTGCTTAAAGAATAAAATAAAAGGTGTGAAAATGCAATAGTCCTACATTTTCTAAATGAGACAAATGAGATGTTTGGACCCCAGGAAGAGTAGCTGCTGCCTTGGCAGGGATCCCTAATAAAATACAAAATAATAAAACAATAAAACAATAACAGTGGACATGAGACTAATGCATTCAAATAAATGAAAATAAGATATATAGAATGAGATAAAATAGACAGTATGGCTAAAAAGGTCTACAGTTTCTGAGGTCCTCAGATCCTCTGGAAGGCTCTTCCAAAGGCCAGGACCACATTATAAAGGGGTCATATGCTTATGAAGCGCAAACACCCGTTGGTTTTTAAGTAACGTGTTACCATAAGGTTGTATTAATACCTACACTCTTAGAAAAAAAGGTGCTAAGTAGAACCATATAGGGTTCTTCAGTTTGATCTCCATAGCAGGATTTCCCAAACTCAGTCCTGGGGCCTCCCAGGGGTGAACGTTTTGTTTTTTGCCCGAACACTAGACAGCTGATTCAAATAATCAGCTCATCATCGAGCTTTGATTATTTGAATCAGCGGTGTAGTGCTAGGGCAAAAGCTAAAACATGCACCCCTGGGAGGCCCCAGGACCGAGTCTGGGAAACCCTGAACCCTTTATCTTTGAGATAACCCTTTATCTTTGAAGGGTTTTTCCTAGAAGCATCTATGAACAGTTCCACCAGCCTTACAGATGTAGGATCTTAATTTGATCACCATGTTGCAGGATGTAAAACTTGTAGTGTACTTGAGGTTTAAAAAGGCTTCTGAAGTTTGTCATTTCTGCTTAAAAATGTCAGACTTGATTTTCCCTTCCGAAAAATGTATCAACCCCTAACAAAATATACATTAATTATAATTCACATAATAATTCACATTTCCTGTTGCTGCAGGATTATTTTACTGCTTTAGCAAACTGGCTCAAATTAAGATCCTTCACCTGTATTAGCCATTATAATTAAACTCTTTATGACAATACATTACATACAGTGAGGGAAAAAAGTATTTGATCCCCTGCTGATTGTAACCCCTCCAGCTGACACTCGTTGCCTCTGATTGGGAGTCACTCAGGCCAACATAGATATACAAACATAGACTTACACACCCTGGCTCAACATAACATAGTCCCCAGAGCCAGGGCGTGACAGTACCCCCCCCCCAAAGGCGCGGACTCCGACCGCGCCAAACAACCACAACAGGGGAGGGACCGGGTGGGCACTCCGCCTCGGCGGCGGATTCGGCTCCGGACATGACCCAGGCACGGGTTGTGCTGGACTGACGACGCGCACCCCTGGCTTGGTGCGTGGAGGAGGAACGGGCCTTACCAGGCTGACGACGCACACCGTAGGCTTGGTGCGTGGAGCAGGGACAGGCCGGACTGGGCTGACGAAGCACACCACTGACTTGGTGCGAGGAGCAGGAACGGGCCGGACCGGGCTGACGAAGCGCACCCCTGACTTGGTGCGGGGAGCAGGAATGAGCCGGACCGGGCTGACGACGCGCACCACTGACTTGGTGCGGGGAGCTTGGATGGGCCGGACTGGGCTGGCGACGCGCACCACCGACTTGGTGCGGAGAGCAGGAACGGGCCGGACAGGGCTGACGAAACGCACCACAGACTTGGTGCGGGGAGCAGGAATGGGCTGGAATGGGCTGGCGATGCGCACCACAGACTTGGTGCGGGGAGCAGGAATGACCTGGACCGGTCTGACGATGCGCACCACTGACTTGGTGCGGGGTGCTTTGATGGGCCGGACTGGGCTGGCGACGCGCACCACAGACTTGGTGGGAGTGGCAGGAACAGGCCGGCCCGTACTGGGAACACACACCACTGGCCCTACGTGGGGATCAGGAACAGGCCGGACCGGACTGGCAACACACGCCAGTACCTCTCGCCGTGCCTCTACAACCTCCCTCCCCCTGGTGACCAGTGACTCCCGTAACCTGGCGGCCTCCTCTGCCAACCCGCTGGACCGCTCTATCGCGGCCTCCTGCTGCCCCGACGTCGTGAGCCCCCCCCTAAAAATTTTCTGGGGGTCTCTCCTCCCCGTGGGCCAGGCCTCCATCGTTCTCGCCAGACTCTCACCCCACTGCTCCAAAGTCCAACCTCTCTCCTCTTCTCTTGGCTCGGCTTTTTGTACGTTTTGCCCACTGACACAGACATGATACCGGTCTATCCTTTTAATGGTAGGTTTATGTGAAAAGTGAGAGACAGAATAACAACAAAAAAATCCAGAAAAACGCAACCATGTCAAAAATTGTTATAAAATTGATTTGCATTTTAATGCGCGGAAATAAGTATTTGACCCCCTCTCAATCAGAAAGATTTCTGGCTCCCAGGTGTCTTTTATACAGGTAACGAGCTGAGATTAGGAGCACACTCTTAAAGGGAGTGCTCCTAATCTCAGCTTGTTACCTGTATAAAAGACACCTGTCCACAGAAGCAATCAGATTCCAAACTCTCCACCATGGCCAAGACCAAAGAGCTCTCCAAGGATGTCAGGGCCAAGATTGTAGACCTACACAAGGCTGGAATGGGCTACAAAGTCCATCGACCAAAGCAGCTTGGTGAGAAGGTGACAACAGTTGGTGCGATTATTCGCAAATGGAAGAAACACAAAATAACTGTCAATCTCCCTCGGCCTGGGGCTCCATGCAAGATCTCACCTCGTGGAGTTGCAATGATCATGAGAACGGTGAGGAATCAGCCCAGAAATACACAGGAGGATCTTGTCAATGATCTCAAGGCAGCTGGGACCACAGTCACCAAGAAAACAATTGGTAACACACTACGCCGTGAAGGACTGAAATCCTGAAGCGCCCGCAAGGTCCCCCTGCTCAAGAAAGCACATATACAGGCCCGTCTGAAGTTTGCCAATGAACATCTGAATGATTCAGAGGAGAACTGGGTGAAAGTGTTGTGGTCAGATGAGACCAAAATCGAGCTCTATGGCATCAACTCAACTCGCCGTGTTTGGAGGAGAAGGAATGCTGCCTATGACCCCAAGAACACCATCCCCACCGTCAAACATGGAGGTGGAAACATTATGCTTTGGGGGTGTTTTTCTGCTAAGGGGACAGGACAACTTCACCGCATCAAAGGGACGATGGACGGCGCCATGTACCGTAAAATCTTGGGTGAGAACCTCCTTCCCTCAGCCAGGGCATTGAAAATGGGTCGTGGAATGGTATTTCAGCATGACAATGACCCAAAACACATGGTCAAGGCAACAAAGGAGTGGCTCAAGAAGAAGCACATTAAGGTCCTGGAGTGGCCTAGCCAGTCTCCAGACCTTAATCTCATAGAAAATCTGTGGAGAGAGCTGAAGGTTTGAGATGCCAAACGTCAGGCTCGAAACCTTAATGACTTGGAGAAGATCTGCAAAGAGGAGTGGGACAAAATCCCTCCTGAGATGTGTGCAATCCTGGTAGCCAACCACAAGAAACATCTGACCTCTGTGATTGCCAACAAGGGGTTTGCCACCAAGTACTAAGTAATGTTTTGCAGATGGGTCAAATACTTATTTCCCTCATTAAATTGCAAATCAATTTATAACATTTCTGACATGCGTTTTCTGGATTTTGTTGTTGTTATTCTGTCTCTCACTGTTCAAATAAACCTACCATTAAAATTATAGACTGATCATGTCTTTGTCAGTGGGCAAACGTACCAAATCAGCAGGGGATCAAATACTTTTTTCCCTCACTGTATATCATAAGGCCTTTCTTTGAGAGCCTAGTTATACCCTAACACAGTGGTCTAAAACTCCTGGTTTACAGGCCATATAAGGACTGAAAGTCACATTAGGATGGCTAGCAAAGTGATCTGTAATTCCTTTTAAATTCCAGCCAGAGTGAGGATATCCAACAATTTGAACTTTTAATCACTTGCAACCTGCATTCAATGACTGTCAGGGTAGGGAAGATTGGTTAATGAGACTACCTAAATAATCTGGAACAACCATCTTAGTAACAGGTGCAATAAATCCAACTGCTAACAGGTTGGATTAGTTTAGAAAATGTATGTTATTTATCTTTGTGTAGCATAAGATTAATCAACTAATCAATGTACATGCAAAAAACAGAAATGGAAAAAAACTATTCTGAAAATCAACCTGCAATAGAGCATGCTGGGAAATATGATAATGATGGGCATGGTTTTGAGTGTTTTACTCTACACAGCAGAGGAGGCTGGTGGGAGGAGCTATAGGAGGATGGGTTCATTGTAATGGTTGGAATGGAGTCAATGGAACGGAATCAAACGCGTTGTTTCCATGTGTTTGATGTGTTTGGTACCATGAGCCCGTCCTCCTAGAGCTCCATCCACCAGCCCTTTTGTTACACAGAGGAAAAATGACACAATCACACACAACTCTGGTTATTAATACCCATGGGGTTATTTTACAACACCGAGTGTTACATTTATTTAACTGCTGAATCAACACTAGAAATGTTACACTGAAAAAAATATCACTAGGTACAACTGCCCAATTTGCAGTGTACCATACCATACACTGCTGATTCACTCATACTCTATTCTCTTACTCTCTGCTCAATAAAATCACAGAAAATACTAAATGTAAAGACAGAAATCATGACAAAGATATAAACTATGTCAGTACTGTATATGTAAAATGATTAAGGGTATACCAGATACATGCACAAATATTCCCAGGTACAGTTTAAGACATTCTCAGACCTATCATTTTAAACTTATCAGATTACTCAAACTCCTGATGTTAAAGTTTAAACAGTGAGGTGAACACTAATGCTCAGGCCCTATTTAAAAGAAAGTGAAAACAATTACAATAAAAACACTACCGGTATTCAGATTCAGAAGGGTTCTATGTAGAATATTGCCTTCCAAAGAATCCCTCTTGCCTTCCAAAGAATCATCACAGAACCTTTTCTCCCCAAAAAGTTTTTTTCAGATAAAAATAGTTATTGGTAGAACCCTATCCATCTGCAAAGAACCCATTTTTTATACGTGTAAGAGTGTACATGGCAGTCATACACACTGAAAGTCAAGGATATGAAATCAATAGATGAAGAATAGCAAGGATCATAATAATGTATGTTTTCACAACTTCAATTCAGTGGCCTTTTTGATTTCTTGTTGTTGTTCACAAAAGTGGATCATACTGAGAATCATAGGCCTACAGATGTTGGATCTTAATTTAAGCCAGTTTGCTACAGCAGGAAAATAATCCTGCAGCAACAGGAAATGTGAATTATTATATGGATTATAATTAATAGACATGTTTGTAGGGATTTATACATTTTTCGCAAGGGAAAATCATGTCTGAAATTTCAAAGTGGAAATTACTAACTTCAGAAGCCATTTTAAACCTCAAATACACTACAAGTTTTACATTTCCTGTATTGCAGTAAAGTTCTCCTGCAACTGGGTGATCAAATTAAGATCCCACATGTGTACCTCCCACAATGGCAATGACTTAAGTACACAATGGCCAGTGTGAGTGTAAACTTTGTACACCCATGTGTGAACCTCCTGCGCATGTATAAAGAGCAGTGTGCAGCGTGGAACAGGACAGCCGATCATGTTGGGCTCGTTTGTTCTACTGTGGATAGGCATCTGCTTCCTCTTTTTCATCCTGAAGATTAATCGAACCACAAACTTTCCTCCTGGTCCAAAACCCATTCAGATATTTGGGAATCTGCTGCATCTGAGCTTGAGGAATCATTTGAAAGACCTGGAGAAGGTGCAGTTATTATACCTCAAATAGCATAACAACTCATGAAAGAATCAGCAGTGTCAGTGTAACTATCAGTTACATTATTTGTTTCAAACATTGTCATTCCTTCATCAAAGGGTGATGTTATCTTGTATCACTTGTAATCACAGTGTTACTGTGTTGTATGCAATGTGTCCTCATGTGCTCTTTCCCAACTAGTTGGCAGAGCGCTATGGGAAGGTTTTCAGTCTTTATATTGGTGGAAGGCCAGCTGTGATTCTCAATGGGCTTGAAGCTATGAAGGAGGCCCTGGTTACCAAGGCTTTGGACTTTGCAAGAAGACCCCAAAACCTTATGCTCAACCACTACACAAGGAAAAATAAATAACAACAAAAACTATACTATTGTTAGAATCAACCAGAAACACATTTAATCATTTAGAAATTATTCATTTTTTATTTACTGTGCAGAGCTCCTGAAACTACCCGCTGATTATAGTTTTATTTTCTTCAAAATCATATAATGTAAGCTGCTCGTCAGATTTTTAAAACCCCTCCCCAGGTTTCATTATTTCGAAATACAGCTCATGCTGGAGAGTGCAACGTCTCTTCGCCCTAATGACCCTGAGAAACTTTGGTCTGGGAAGCAGTTGTAGTGTATTAGGATTATGTCTTTGTTAATGTTTTTCATGTGGAACTGAAAGGATGTTTGTTTAGCAGAAAGAGAGCCGGTTTTAATGTGACACCCCGGATAGGACAGAGAAGTCTGTGTGTTGTAGACAGGGGATTGGACAGTAGAGGGAGCCACCCATATCTCGGGGAGATATATATACTGGGGAAAAACGAAGAAGAGGTTAGAGCGACCATTGCAATCTGGGAAGTCGCTCTCCGGGTGTCATGACATCCGTCACTTATGCTGACATCTTGTGATATGAATAAACTTATGATCAAAGGTTCAGTATGAGCGGACTCCTTTGTTTATCAGCAATAATTGCCAGCATTTACTCGATACGACAAATGGCGCCCAACGTGCGGCTGGTCTGCATCTCCCCTTTGCTTCATTCGTTGCCGCCAAGCTAACTCGTTCTGAAGTCATGGCCAGAAAAGGGTGAGTTTTTCCTCACCGCTTTGGAAGTTTGTTAGTTTGGATGCTATGTGATTGTGCACTGGAGAAATGTACCATTAGGACCGAAATGTGCCTCGTGTGGCGTTATTGCTGAGAACTGGGGGTCTGGCTAATCATTATAAATTGTTGCACTGGTAGACAGTGCAAAAGGGGGGAGAGTAGGCTTGGAATTTTAGAGCAATCGATGGTAGGGATTAAGGCAGATATTGGCAGATATAATACAAGGCAGATGTACAAGGCAGATATACGTATACATTAGGGCACTGCACCGTGTAAGACCCCGGGGTGGGCCATCCAGGATGGGCCGAAAATCCTCTTGCGCGTTAGATGTGTATTAGGTGTGTTTTAAAAAAAAAACTCGGGTTGATGGAATTTATCTGATTGTGATTATTGCTCATCTTTCATCCGACGGGGTGTCTGCTTGGGGTAATCTCTCAGTGGATGGTCATTGAACTCACGGCATCACAAACGGTAGAGAATAAGACAAAGAAAAGGGCAGTGCAGGGTACCTGTTACGTGTTGCAAGCCACAGGTTAGCTAAAGGCTAATGCTAATGCTAATGCTAAATGCTGGTTGTGTTTCATGCCACATTGTACATAAAGGCTAATGCTAAATGCTAATGCTAAATGCTAATTGTGTTGCATGCTACATGCTAACGTGTGACCTAAGGGGGCCATTGCGATGGAATAAAGCCTCTTAAATTATGTTTGTGTGTGTAGTTTTTCAGAGTTCTATGCAATTGTGAGCTCTGTTAAATGTTGTTTGACTATGAGGGGAAAACGGAGGTACAGCAGGACTGTTAACTGTCTATTTGGGTTGGGGAGAGAGCTAAGAATCTCCCTTCCACGGGGAAAAAGTATTTTTGAATGTAACGCGCATGCGTGTGATTTTGCTAAACTACAACACGTTTAATTTTACGACACTACACTACAAAACGGGGGAGTTTATGGCACGAGATTATGACACGTTTGGTTTCCGGCACTAGACTACAACACGTTGTTTACTAAAACTACAACAAGGGTGATTGTGGGTAAATAGGTCACTCCTCTGTTACACTGTGTTGCGGGGAGGCTGAGACAAACAAAAAGGTTTATGGGTAGTGTAGTTGACTACTTGTATTTACTGTCCGGATGGGTTGTGGTAAGATAGCCACTAATTGATAAATTGGTAAGATAGGATATAGAAATAAAAAATTGGTTTTAATTATTCATAATTTTTAATTGATTTTTTAATTGATTTTTCTATTTTTAATTTAAAAAAAATTTTGAATAAAATTTTAATTGAATTTTTTAAATATTCATGGTTGTTTGGTTTATATTAATAATTAAAGGGGGGAAGCCATAGGCTATATAGTCTAAAATAAAATAATTCACAATAAAGGAATATAAAAGAGTAGTTACAATGGGGAGAAAGGACAGCAAGGCTATGAAGGTGATTACACCTGTTGATATAGTACAAAATAGTAATCCTTTAGTTAAGGGTATTGCGAGGTTATCCGGCAAATGAAACAAAAGTTGCCCTTCATTCTCGAACAAAAAACTGATAAAAGATTCCAGCGATAAGATAAACAAAGCTATAGAGAAAAGGCTAAAGGAAGAGAAGGCGACAGAAAAACTAATGGCAGAAGTTAGTACACCTTTCTCACATACGGATTCAGCAAAAAGACCCCCACCTTATGAGAAGGAAGTAGAGCTTAGGGATGTTTATCCTCAGCTTCCAGTGATCCTCCAGCAGGGTGATTATTGCATCAGAGATGAAGATGAACTAATAATAGAGAGAGGACAAGCAGAAACGACGATAAAGATGAATCCAAAACTCCAGAAGGAAGAAAATGAGATGTCTGGAAGAGAAGAGTGAGGTTAAGGAAGATGGAACTTGAAGAAGATGATGAAGATGAAGATCAGAGTGATTGAGAAGAGATCATGGGTGGATATGACTCTGTGATCAGAAGGAAGTTGGCAAGAGAGGAAAGAAGAAGGATACTAGAGATTTGATCTCTGATGGAAGTTGAAGGAAGAAGGATACAAGAGATTCGAGTTCTGATGAAAGCGATGAAGATTTGGAGATTAAAGGTGCTTTATGTTCAAGAGGATTTTATCCTACAATGACTAGCAAAGAAGAAATAGAGATATAGACCGATGCGTATCATGCCTGGATAAAGCAAATAGTTTAGAAGAAGTAACACAGCTGAAGATACAGAAGAGAAGAAAAACTGCTGAGAAAAGAATCCCAAGAATTGGAGGAGAAGAATACATTGAGGCCAAGGAAAAAGGCCACTAGTAAGAAGATGATGGAAGATGATATTTCGAGGACAGAACTTAGAATATAACCTTTTGAAGAATACTGATATGTCAACAATCACTGCCACAGCTTCAACAGGACCAGTTCCAACCGCAATGGTACCAGCCACCAATGGGGGTACCAGTTGTGTCATATCCACAGACAGGTTCTGGACAGACGCAGAATTGGAGAGGAAGAGGACGAGAAGGCTTAGAAGGAGGAGGAAGATTCCAGCTACACTTCCAGCAACTTTCAGAAGAGTGTTATAATTGTGGACAGGTTGGTTACTTTACCTGTGAGTGCAATAAGTCAGGAGGAAACATCAGAGGGAATTTCAGAGGAAGATACAGGGGCCAGTCAAGATCATCTGGAGGACAGGTGAACCCTAAGGATTCTAGAGCCTAGAAGATACGAAGGGGGGTGTCAGCTGATAGCATCGATTAGAGAAGAAGAGAAAATATCTAACAATTGAAGTGAAAACAGAGGACTATGAGAAGTGATAGTGAATAGTGGAAAAGCTTTTATCTGTGTTGAGCCTAAAGAGGTTAAACATCTCACTATGTAAAATTAACTAATTAGGATAGGGATTTGAGGTAGTAAAACAGCTAATTACTCTTAAGGAACCAATTGAGCTCTTCTATAAAGAATCAAAGAGAAATTAAAATAGACATACTAATATTAGAACATATACCTATTGCATTGTTGGGAAGAGATGCATTGTGTAAATTGAACTGTACAATAAGATGTACACTAGACGGCTGTCTGGTAGAAGATTTTTAAAAGAATAGGGTTTTTGGGAATCATATTTGCTTGAAAAGATAATATCATAGGAAGGATGATAATCTATTAGACTGCCTATTAGACAATATGTCTGAAAAATAAAGTTAAAAGGGGTGACTGTTATTCTGGGTTACATTCCTACACCAAGAGATTTCAGGCTAGGCTAAAAGATGTTTAGTCGTTTGCCAAGTCTGTGTGTAAAGGAGTCAGAAGCAGGTGGGGACTTCCCAATCACATATTCAAAAAATTTGGTGGTAAAGGGATTTTGTGAATAAATCAGTGGAAAAGGTTTTTAAAGGTTAGGAGAAAAGATTAGATTAAAAAAGTTAGGAGAACTAGGGTTGAAGGAACTCTAAGACAGTAAGCTAAGTTTCAAAGTTAGTAGTAAGAGAGAGAGAACAGTGGTGAAGGACATTTTAGAGTTTAGTGGGAAGATAGATATGGTAGGAGTTTAGATCTGTTAGGAGCAGATGCATTGAGAAAGTATGCGTTGCTGAATGATAAGAGAAGATTGAGGGTGATTGAGTATCTATACTTACAGTTCCCAGCAGGAAGATCAAGGTAATTGTGGGTGTATTTTTTATAATCAAAAGGTTGAAAGTCAGGGATTAGAGGTAGGACTGAGAGCTAAAAAAGTGACATTAGTGGTGATAGAGGGAAATACAAGTAAGGAGTTAAAAGTCTTAGGGAAAATAGATGAAGTAACAACTATGACATTAACACTTCAGTATATTAAAACAACAGTGAGAAGCAATTTAACTCTTTCAACATTGATAGTTATTAAAGCCATAAATATATCGCATTTGATTATAAGGGAACCAATAGCTCCAGCAGCAATTTTAGAAGAAAAGACTGTTATTAGGGTTAAAATAGGAAAGCAGATAGTGGTAGAGAAGAATATAGATTCATCTGAAATAGTGAAGGATACTATCATGGAGGTACAGGATGAGGTCTTTGATTTTAATGACAGACAAGGAGAGGTATCTGATCAGTACCGCTCGTTAGGGAAGAGAGAAACTAAATGCATATGGTTTGATTCTTCTGTTGTGAAAATTCAAGATGGATGGGCAGGTAGGAATCTTTGGTTCCAGCAGCTAGCTCATTCTGTAAGATCAGTGAGGAATCTTGAGGGTCCATGTCTGTTGAGAATTCCAGAACAGATAAAATAATGTTGTTGTCAAAACATTTGTTTAAGCCTAGGTTTAGGTGTTCTTGGTTAAATTAATTACCCTATGGTAATTTGCTAGATAGGAAGGAAAATCAGGTAACAGCGAACCCTGAAGCATTGGAGGTGAAACCAGTGAGGGCTAAAAGTTGTTTTTGTTCTAATAAAACATATGATGTAAGGGGTATGTTTATGGGAATATCAGATTGTGATGATTATATGATAACTTTGGGTATGCATGACCTTAAGGGTAGTAATGAGAAATATAATGTTACTTTTTATGTTCCAGGTAGTAAGAACAGCAAGACTTTGATGGTGAAAGATTAGCTTTTGCCTGACAATGTGACTATTGGGAATTTTAGAGATATTTGGAGGGTTTGTGGTGATAAAGCGTATATATTCTTACCCTATGGATGGACAGGATGTTGTTACATGTCAACGTTGAAGCTTCCATATGAGTTTCTACCATTATAAGAGGGGTAGCACCGGACACAGATAAATCTGAATCTAGGTTTGGAAGTAGGGTGAAAAGGGACATGGCGACATTTCATAGTCTTGACGCCTATCATTGGAGGATAAGGCTAAGAGAGAAGGGGGGACTTTTTCCATGGTATGGTGTAACATTTTTGGCAGATCATATTGATAATATTAGCTATACTTTGATTCCAGATAGTTCAGATAGTATCACTATGCGTTGAAATATATAAGGGATGCGTTTGGTAGATCTGAAGGAGCTGGATGGTCAGCGAAGTCTTGGTTGCAAGATCAGTTAGGCCCAGTAGGAGCAGTGATGGTTTACGATTTAATAGCAGTTTTTATAGCACTGTGTGTGATGTTTGTAATTTGTTACTGACCTTTGAGAAAGCTATGATATTGAGATAGCTTGGAGTAGTGATGCCTGGAGACAACGCTCAGATGCCGTTGTTGACTGTTCCTGATCTGGATGAAGAGGGACAAGTGGGACTGGATGGAGTATTGATGATAAATATCCTTTTTGAATATTTGATCATTTTTCAAAAAAAATTCAATATTAGGGTGATTTTAGTATGATGTTATGAATCAAAGGGGGGAAGTGTATGAATGAATCACATTATCCTATTTCATTATTCTATCATTTATATTGATTCATACATCATTTATATATAATTTTTATATTCTTAGTTGATATTGATGTTTTAATTTGAAAATGTTGTTTTGCAAAAGATACTGTTTGGTCTTTTCTTTTCTTCCAGAAGCATTTGGGGGAAAATGTAAAGATTGAAATACTCAAACAAGGACAATATGAAGGGACAATATGAAAGGACAATAACTGGAGGAGATGGAACAAGGAAGGGGTGGAAAGGTTCCCATTCCATTATCAACAATGCATTGGAAGAGGAGACTACGGAGGAGATGAAGTGTAGTGGACTACATTCCAGTGTCTGCAATGAAATATAGACATATTTTGAATGTGTAATACATAATTTGTGTCATATTCTTAGGTATTAAGTTTTGTAGAATGATATTTGATGTTATTGGATACATGTGGGGATCTTAGATGTTTTTGTTTATTTCGTGAATGCTTAGGGACAGGGAGTCTAGGCAGGGATAGAAGTCCACTATAGGGTCCGATGGGTTGACCAGCCTTGGAGTGGACATTTTGGATAGTATTTTGTTTGCAGGGGCTTACATGTGTATTTAATTGCATCATAGTTTCAAATGCATTAATAAGGATTTATGAGTTCATCGGGAGTACCTAGGTGGTTGCCTGGGGCAGAGGGACCGTGAGAGAATTTTACTGTCTTGATTGATGGATGGATATCTGGAAAGATGGCTGCCAGACAGTTTTTCGCTCTCACACTCCATAAAGATTTGTTCATATTTCATAGTAATGTATTCACACTTCATAAACAGTTATTCATATTTCATAGAAAGGTATATACACTCTAGAGAATAATGTTTTTTTGGTTTAATGTTAAAGATACTCAATAAGATAAATTGTTACTTGTCATAATCCTATTCTGTTTGTTTTCGAGACTTTTAGTTCGTCTCGAAGGGGGGAAATGTAGTGTATTAGGATTATGTCTTTGTTAATGTTTTTCATGTGGAACTGAAAGGATGTTTGTTTAGCAGAAAGAGAGCCGGTTTTAATGTGACACCCCGGATAGGACAGAGAAGTCTGTGTGTTGTAGACAGGGGATTGGACAGTAGAGGGAGCCACCCATATCTCGGGGAGATATATATACTGGGGAAAAACAAAGAAGAGGTTAGAGCGACCATTGCAATCTGGGAAGTCGCTCTCCGGGTGTCATGACATCCGTCACTTATGCTGACATCTTGTGATATGAATAAACTTATGATCAAAGGTTCAGTATGAGCGGACTCCTTTGTTTATCAGCAATAATTGCCAGCATTTACTCGATACGACACAGTCTATGGAGGAGAGGATTCTGGAGGAGACATCATACATCATTGCACCCTTGGAGAAAAGTGTTGGTATGAAAGTATAACATTTAAAATTGACATTAATCTGTCTTTGTGGTAAAGAAACGTATCATACTTGTCATTTAACTGATTTTATCATAAATAGATAATAACTACTACTATATATTTTTATTTTGTACAGGGAAAACCATGGACACTCAGACTATCTTCCATAAATCTTCATTCAATATCCTTTATCTTGTACTATTTGGGTCCCGCTATGAATATGACGACAAGTTTCTTAAGTTCTTCATTCGTATCTTCACTGAGAATGCGAAGATCACTAATGGACCCTGGGCATTGGTATTATACCATTTTAATAGGTTTATCACTTAATGTTAGTCAGACCTTGACTTAAAGGGATACTTCACCCAAATTACAAAATTACATAATGGTTTCCTTACCCTGTAATTAGTCTATGGACAAGGTAAGTGATAGATGAATTTGTATGTTTATGGTAATGACTCAAATTGTTCCACCCCGATACAGTATGACTGTGTAAACTGTGTTAAGGTAGTAATAAACCCGCTAACAGAGAAGGGGGTTAGAAACTGCTGAGACAGACATTCCAGGAGAAAGGAGACTTAGAAACTGTCCTATTTAAATATTCTATACTGTGGAAATTTACAGGCCGCCTAAAGGTGGGCGGAGCAAAGTCCTTTGTGTGGACGCATATAAAAAGGCTGTGTGTGTTTTTGGCGCCAGAGCGCTCTCATTGAATAAAAATGGCTGATCCCTTGCAGACTGGACAATTTGTTTAATTCATTCTTAACTAGAGTCTTACACCCTCTGGGGATTATTCAAAGTTTGAGTATTAGAGATAGAATTCTCGTGACAATTGGTCCTTCAAGCCGGATATCAATATCCGTTTTCTGTCGTTACGGGGACACCGAAAACCATGCACGGGCGGATGATAGCATCCGTATAGACTAAGACCTGGCCTCTGACATTGAGTGTTCATTACAGGCTGGTAGGAAACTGATAAACAACAGAAACTGTGACGATATCTAACCAAAATTGAGTCCCAGCTGCAAGAATAAGGTCAGTGATTTTTATTCATGGCTTTTGGGGGGATTGATATCTTAAAATGGCAGTAGAAAAAAATTAACAGTTTGAATCTGCTGTAGTGAGGGTAGTAATCCGTCGATAATCCGAAAGGGATTCATCAGGTACATCGTTTTTAGACGTTTATCTAGAGAAAACCATGTGCCAGTATTCTGGATAAATATAAAACGGGGGGTAGGGTGAAGATCAAAAGAGAGGAAGGAAGTGGGTCCGCAATTGACTCAAGGTAATATAAACTAGTTAATATTGAGATTGTACAAGATACAGTCTTTACAATATAAACAGGAAGGGAGATAATTATCATCATGTGAGATAGATACATTAAACAAGTCAAGAGTCATAAACAACTGTAGATTTGCTGTAACTCTATCCGTTTCATGAAACTGGAGCCTTACAAACTCCGGTAGTGTTAACTAATAATCATAAGGTTGTATACGTGTGAGACTTAACGATCCATCAAAAATCGCAATAATTAATTATTTCAAGGAAAGAATATACGATAAAATGTATAAGACATTAAGACCTAGTAATTTGTTAATAGGCATAAAATAATTGTACAAAATACTCCCTGAATATGAGAAATCTTGTTGGAGAAAAAGGTCACGTGTACGGGGGTGATCATATGACGTCAACACATTGAATTTTGGTCAAGCTTTCAGGGGGACATTATATTTGGGAAATGTAGAAGTAATGTAGGATTATGGTCAAATTGACCATAGTAAAATGTCAAAGGTTGATAGGGTTAACATTCCAAATTTGGGCACTATTATAGAATAAAATATTCCTGTAGGTTGTGCGAATATTGATTGTGTGTTGGGAAATAGCATTGTGTGAATGTGATATGAAAGTTGTGTGAATATGGTAAGAGTTAATCTGAAGTTTTGAGAATAAGCAGTTGATATAATGATATCTTGGGGTTTGTAAAAACACTGCTTGTCATAGAATAGTGTGAGATGTTAGTTCAGGGAATAGTGACCAGTCTATAGGATTCTGGGAGGATTTTATGACTCAGGGGAAGAGTCTAGGTAGTAACGTTGTTGTTCCGATTGGAACTAGATTATGGTCAACTAACTTGTGGCAATAAAGAATAATTAGAAATACAAATGATTTAGTTGATATGAATATACTAAAATATGATTAATGTTATGTGTGGGTAATTGATTACTAGAGGTTAGGTAAAAGTGGAAGAATATATAAGTGCTGGCTTACACGCCCAAACACGTAGACGTACGGGGGGGCAGTACATAGATCATATGATAGAAATAGATTAAGCATTATTTCTATCTATCATTTCGGAGCAGAGGTAATATAGTAAGGGAATTTTAGTCAAGAATAGTGGGGGGAGTAAAATAATTATTTTTGTGTTGCTGAATGAGTTGATAGTTTAAAGACTACTGAGAAAAGAGTTGTAATGTGGACTATCGAATTGAATATGGATATGAATTCAATATATGATGGTAAAATACAGCAAGTGTTTGGTGTTACTTCTAGCCTACTTAGAAAGGATATTTACTTAGATCTGATGTATTCTAATAATGGAGGATTGGTGATAAACTGAACCAAACATGACGTTACTACAGCAATTTAGGATGGTTAATGTTGTTACGTTAGTTTTTAAACCCTATGATAGAGGTAAATGCAGAACGCTGTTTGAGAGTGTGTTTTATTTTGTCTACTAGTAAAAAATTGAAGAATGTCCATGTTTTTTGTCTGCGGGTGTTAACCATTGGGGCTTGCTGAAACGTGAGAGCGCTGTAAGGGATATTATGGGTTACGTTAGGTGTACGAGGATCAATGGTTGCTGTGGAAAAGGAAGTCATAGGGGGTTGGATGTTTGGGGTGAAAGGGCTAGCTAGTTAGTGGTGCGAACTAGTGACGTTTAGAGTGGTGACGTAACTTGCTATGCGACATGGAAGTAGTTGTTAAACTTGCTTTGCAAGGATAGCGGATTTTGTGGAGCGACGGGTAATGGTGTTTCGATGGTAAATGTTGTCGATATGGGTAGAAGGTCCCTGGTTTGAGCCCAGGTAGGGACAGAAAGCAAATATTTTGCGTTGATGCTATTGACCTAGATTACTAGAGGAATTGATAATATTACGTGAAAGGAATTGTCTTACCAGCACATAGCGAATAGTATAACATAGTAATTAAAGTTGCATATCGGTGAATAGATGTTTTGTTAGTTTTGACTATAACTTTACAATAATTTGTCATCCGTTAAAGTACTGTTATATGGAAAGTTAGCGATAGAGAATAATAGATATTGTAGAGGGTTTACAAAGTAAATAAGTTAATTGGGTAATGAGACATGTTGAATTGGATTGTTTAATAAGATTGGTATTAAAATCATTCTTTCTATTTAGGTGAATTAAAATATATTATTAGGTAGTATTGATTTGTGGAGACAATTTACTAATGACACGATTTCGTAAGAGGGTGAAAGGAAGTAGTGATAAGTGGGCTATATTGACATATGTAGGACACATTGGGATGATATGAAGAACATGTCTAGATAGTTGAATATGGAACGTTATTTGATAATTGGTAATTATTATTAGTACATTATATAGTTTGTTTAAACAACAGTGAGTTATGCAGACAGTTCATTAATTCTAAAAACGATAATCTGTTGATGGTACGTTGAACAATAGGAGATAGTTGTTACTATTAGGCTGATGAAGAAATAAAAATTTTTTGTAAGTATGAAGTTATTAAACAATAGGTTTATATTTTAAAACATCTATGTAACAGGTTGTGATGATTAAAATACTAGAAAGGGGTTATAGGTTTATATTAGAAGGTGTAGTGAACTTAATGAAACGTGGTATTATCTAGTGTCTTCTGAGTGGGAGTTTTTTTCCAGGATTGATGGAAGTCTACTATAGCATTATGTTAAGGGGAGAGTAGGAGACAACGTATCAAACTATTTTTGAATAGATGCATGGGATAAAATATCACGTCTTACTTAAGCGGAGTACGTGATTGTATTGGCTAATGACTGAAATGTGACATTTACAGGGGTGACAGGAACAATAGAAGGGGAAACAGATTTTCCTATGTTGTTGATCAAGTAAACGATAATGGATCATTTGATATGGGATCACATGGAGCAGATTTAGGGGTTCAATAATCATTGTGAGATTTAAAGAGGATATGATCTTAAGGGTAATCAATTAAACATACTCATTATATACTAAGTGAAATTTGAGTGGTTTTCATCTTTTGAGAGATTTTATATAATATTTTTATGGAGTAGTTATGAGGAATTAGATTGGAACAAACGATTATTGATGAGATAGGACTGTGTATATCTGTATCATGTTTTGTGTGTACTTACTATCTTTGGATTACTGATTGTAATTGAGTGTTAACAAAATGCATAATTTCTCTTCCAGGAGAAAGGGGATTTGCTTATCTCATTGGAATGTTGCCCAGGGCTAGGGGGAGCAGTTTAGTGAAGTTAGGCAGTATTAGGTCGTAAAAGGGAGCTACCACATTACGTAAGGCCTGGCTATTTTTGTTTGTTGTTTTCAATTGGGTTTTTCAAATAAAACACAACACACCTAGTATGATGTTTATAAAGGGTTGTTATTTTGATTTTAGGGGGTTTTCAACAGGTCAAAGGTGATAAGTCTTAAAGGAGCACACACAGTGAATTCTATGACATATTTTTCTTTTTTGACTGAGTTTTGGGTATACATGATTTCTTATGAGAATAAATGTAATGAGGACTTAATGTACACTTGGGATAAGTAACATTTATGAAATGTTTTGAATGATGGTAATGTTTAGTATACTATAGAATGGAGCAATTCTTTGAAGGATTTCAATGACCTCTGAACTCTGTTTTGACTTTCTAGTGTGAATTGATCATCCACACTGGTCATTCTAAAGGCATGAGAGGAGGACATTAAGATACTTTATTTTACAGAGTTGAGGGTAATTTATAATACTGTGAAACGTGTGAAGAAGTTTATAATTTGGTAATAATATATATGATTCGAACCATAAAATAACAAAAGAGAGAGAGAGCTTTCCCTGAATGAGGGATACCTGTTGCTAGTCAATTGTACTAATCTTGGATTACTTTACGGGATAGAAGTAAGTTGAGATATTATCAAATGTTGTCATTTTAATTTCATTTTTATTGTGGTTTAATAAACAATGTTGGTGTTTTGTTTTTGAAAGCATGAATCACGTTGTGACTCATGTGTTCAGAAAAGGAGGGGAAAATTCCTAGTACGCTCTGCCTCAGGCCATCAATTTATAGAGCGGTTATCAGCTCCTGTGACTTTACAACATGAAAATTCAGGAGGAGAAGTATGCATACCTGTACTGTTATCAAGCTTATGACCAGTTAATCTACTAGGAAGAGATGCTATGACTCAGTTGAATGTAGCTGAAACACCGACTGAGAGGGGTATGAAGGCATATGTGGTACGGGATAACATGGTAGTGAGCGGGGAGGGAGAACCAGGCTATAACCAGGAATTTGGGAAAGTTTTAACCTCAGGAAGGAAGCCAAATGTTAATGTAGGTAGATTATATTCTATTGGCTAATCCCACTCAAGAGGGATGTAAGAAAGATACAATCCAATTGTTGACCTTTATGGCAGAACAGGGAGACAAAGTTAGCAAAAGAAAACTTAAACTCTGGCAGAGCGAGGTGATTTACTTAGGACATACCATAACTCAGGAGGGGCGAACGTTAAACTCATCCAGGAAAACTGCTATACTTGAAGCGCCAAAACCATTAAACAAGAAACAAATGATGAGCTTTTTGGGAATTATGAACTATTGTAGAGCTTGGGTACCCCATTATGCACTGCATACTGGTAAATAAAGTGATCTTATCTATGGGAAGGCAATGGCAGGCCATGATAACATCATTTGGAACTCCGAGGCGGAGGAGCAATTCATAGAGGTAAAAGAAAAGTTGCTCACTTCCCAAACAGTCTTAGCTTTTGATGAGGTAGATTTTCTTTAGTGGACTATGAGATAAAACTGGATTAATCACGAACATAGAGTTAGAATTCTTTGTTGCTAGGCAAATAACTGAATTGAGTAATTTCACTGTGTGTGTGTATGTTTGAAAGATTTAAGTATGGACCTGTCATGTCCAACCATCAGTCTTCAGGTCAAGCCCGGGAGAGCCGGGGTTGAACAGAGTTTAAACTAAACATGAGTGTTTTTACAAGATAAGGGATTGATTGATTGTATTACTAAGGATAATTTACCAATATTACCTAAGTGTCACGCCCTGACCTTAGAGATCACCTGTATTCTCTGTTTGGTTAGGTCAGGGTGGGATTTGGATACATTCTAGTGTATCTATTTCTATGTTGGCCGGTTGTGGTTCCCAATCAGAGGCATCTGTCGATCGTTGTCTCTGATTGGGGATCATACTTAGGCAGCCATTTTGCCTACCTATATTGTGGGATCTTGTTTCTGTTTCTGTTTTGGCTTGTTGCTGTTAGCCTTTAGAACTTCACGTTCAGTTGCTTTTGTTATTTTGTCAAGTGTTTATTTATTAAATTAAACATGTACGCATACCACGCTGCACCTTGGTCCGACCATTTATACAACGTACGTGACAGAAGATCCCACCACCAACGGACCAAGCAGCGTGGCCAGGAGGAGCAGACATCCTGGACACAGGTGGGGAAGACATTTTGGACATGGGAGGAGATATTAGCCGGTAAAGGACCCTGGGCGAAGGAAGAAGCGCCGACCGCGAAGGAAGCACGAGAGGCAGCCCCAAGATAATTTTTTTGGGGGGCACACGGAGCAGAAGGAGGCCCTGAAAGGGCTGACTGTGGAGGAAGAGGAAGCCGCTATTATAGAGGCCCTCCAAGACATGCAGCTCAGCACTCTGAGAGAGGAGGTAACTACTTTACGGGGGCTGTTAGCTAAGAGAGAGCAGGAGAGCTCCCTTCAGAGGGAGGCGCTGCAGGAGGCCCACAGGGAGAAGGAGTCAGTGGATGCACGGAGAGAGGAGCTAGCCAGACAACAGGAGGAGCTGAGAGAGGAGTTAACCCTCCAGCAGCAGAGAACAGTCCTTAGAGCAGAGGCTGGTGGAGCCAGGTTTCAGAAGAGAGCCAACTCCCCGCACTCGCTTTGAGGAGCGTGTGACCATGCAGGCAACAGGCTATGCGCCGGCTTTACGCACTGTGCCGCCAGTGCGCCTTCACAGACCGGTACGGCCCGTGCCTGCTCCTCGCACCAAACCAGTGGTGCGTGTCGCCAGCCCGGTATGCCCGTACCTGCTCCCACCAAACCAGTGGTGCGTGTCTCCAGTCCTGTACGGCCGTACCTGCTCCTCGCACCAAACCAGTGGTGCGTGTCTCCAGTCCTGTACGGCCCGTACTTGCTCCTCGCACCAAACCATTGGTGCGTGTCGCCAGCCCGGTGCGCCCCGTACCTGTTCCTCGCACCAAACCAGTGGTGCGTGTCCCCAGCCCGGTATGCCCGTACCTGCTCCTCGCACCAAACCAGTGGTGCGTGTCATCCAGTCCTGTACGGCCCGTACCGATGCCTCGCACCAAACCAGTGGTGCGTGTCGCCAGCCCGGTATGCCCCGTACCTGCTCCTCGCACCAAACCAGTGGTGCGTGTCTCCAGTCCGGTACGCCCGTACCTGCTCCTTGCACCAAACCAGTGGTGCGTGTCTCCAGTCCTGTACGGCCCGTACCTGCTCCTCGCACCAAACCAGTGGTGCGTGTCGCCAGCCCGGTATGCCCCGTACCTGCTCCTCGCACCAAACCAGTGGTGCGTGTCTCCAGTCCTGTACGGCCCGTACCTGTTCCTCGCACCAAACCAGTGGTGCGTGTCCCCAGCCCGGTACGGCCCGTGCCTGCTCCTCGCACTAAACCAGTGGTGCGTGTCGCCAGCCCGGTACGGCCCGTGCCTGCTCCTCGCACCAATCCAGTGGTGCGTGTCTCCAGCCCGGTACGGCCTGTGCCTGCTCCTCGCACAAGACCAGTGGTGCGTGTCCCCAGCCCGGTACGGCCCATTCCAGTGCCAGAGCAGTCCGCTCCACCGGTGCCTAGTCCAGCTCCGGTCAGCTGCTACACTCCAGTGCCAGAGCAGTCTGCTCCAACGGTGCCTAGTCCAGCTCCGGTCAGCTGCTCCAGTCCAGTGCCAGAGTAGTCCGCTCCACCGGTGCCTAGTCCTGCTCCGGTTATCTGCTCCCTACCAGAGCCGGGGTAGTCCACTTCACCGGTGCCCAGTCCGGGTCCGGTCGTCTACTCTTCCTCCATGCCGGAGCCATCTGCTCCACCAGGGTCCGAGCCGGAAGCAGACGTCAACCCCTCTCCAGGATCGGGCCTCCCACACCAGGGTCCAGACAGGACTTGGTGCATCACGGGAGGACTGCCGAGCCAGAACCAGACGTCAACGCCTCTCCAGGGTCGAGGGCTCCCACACCAGGGTCCAGACAGGACTTGGTGCATTGTGGGAGGACTGAGAGGGGGAGCATCGCGCCGGGGTCCAGACCGGACCGGGCGTGCAAAGGGGAGGCAGGATGGGAGAAGAGTTTACTGCCTACGTCACGTCCGAAGCCGGAGCCTGAGCCGCCACCGAGGCTAGATGCCCACCCAGACCCTCCCCTAATGAGTCAGGTTTTTGCGGCCGGAGTCCGCACCTTTGGGAGGGGTGTACTGTCACGCCCTGACCTTAGAGATCACCTGTATTCTCTGTTTGGTTAGGTCAGGGTGTGATTTGGATACATTCTAGTGTATCTATTTCTATGTTGGCCGGGTGTGGTTCCCAATCAGAGGCAGCTGTCGATCGTTGTCTCTGATTGGGGATCATACTTAGGCAGCCATTTTGCCTACCTATGTTGTGGGATCTTGTTTCTGCTTAGGCTTGTTGCTGTTAGCCTTTAGAACTTCACGTTCAGTTGCTTTTGTTATTTTGTCAAGTGTTTATTTATTAAATTAAACATGTACGCATACCACGCTGCATCTTGGTCCGACCATTTATACAACGTACGTGACACTAAGTGATTGTTTAGAGAGGTGCCAATATTGACACATGGGCAAAGCCATGTGTCAACAGGGGGGATGATGGTAGATGGTAGGATTAAAGATAACTAGGTGGAGGAGAGGACTAAATACTTAATTGGATACAGTTAGAAAGAAAATACTAATATGAACGGTATGATTAGAGAGGGGTTAAGGAAAACACACAGGAGCGCAGGAAGAAATTGGGTACAATGTCTAACGATAGTATTAATGACAATCAGGATAACTCCAGATAAAAAAGGATTATTGCCAGAGCATGCTTGTAAATACATTTATCCTGAGTGTAAACATTTAGTCAAAGGGTGGATTGATAGATGAATTTGTATGTTTATGGTAATGACTAAAATTGTTCCACCCCGATACTGTATGACTGTGTAAACTGTGTTAGAGTTATAAGGTAGTAATAAACCCGCTAACAGAGAAGGGGGTTGGAAACTGCTGAGACAGACATTCCAGGAGAAAGGAGACTTAGAAACTGTCCTATTTAAATATTCTATACTGTGGAAATGTACAGGCCGCCTAAAGGTGGGTGGAGCAAAGTCCTTTGTGTGGACGCATATAAAAAGGCTGTGTGTGTTTTTGGCGCCAGAGCGCTCTCCCTTGCAGACTGGACAATTTGTTTAATTCATTCTTAACTAGAGTCTTACACCCTCTGGGGATTAATCAAAGTTTGAGTATTAGAGATAGAATTCTCGTGACAGTGAGACAGTAATCCATGCTTTGGTTTTGTTTATCTGGCCACTGTCTCCTAAAGTATTTTTCTTTTGCATTTGTGGTACAAATCCAATCCAAACTGAGCATTTGGAGACAGTGGCCAGGTAAACAAAACCAAAGTATGGATTCCTGTCTTAACTTGTACATAGACTTCTTAAAGGGTAAGGAAGCCAATATGTAATTTGGGTTAACTATCCCTTTATTTTGAAAGCAGATATGGGTGGGAGATCATTGGTTATGTGTTTTGAATATCTCCACAGCTTTATGATGCACTGCCCATGCTGCGACATCTTCCCTTGCCCTTCCAGAAGGCCTTTAAAAATGTAGAATCCAGTAAACAGATTGCCATTGACATGGTCACTGAGCGTAAGAAGACCTGAGTTCCTGGTAAACCAATGGACTTCGTTGACAGCTACCTGGATGAACTAGACAAAGTGTGTGTGTTTTTTTTTAAATGGGAGTTTAGGTAGCTTAAAGTAGCTGATCAGTGTTTCCAGATTTGTTTGAAATATTCTGTATAATTAATTACAATATGAGTAAACTTGTTTTCCTTCCCAAAAAAATTGTAATGAAGTATGTTAAAAAGCAACTTTTGTGTGTTTGAATGGTGTGGCCCCGTGTAGCTCAGTTGGTAGAGCATGGCGTTTGCAACACCAGGGTTGTGGGTTAGATTCCCGCGGGGGCCAGTATGAAAATGTATGCACTAACTAACTGTAAATCGCTCTGGATAAGAGCATCTGCTAAATGACTAAAATGTAAAATGTGGCTGTACCGTAACAACAAAATGGTTTGGGCAAATACTGGTCATTATAAATATTCATGACAAGTAAACAGCTAATTGGGCAACTTAGCCAATGAGACATCTCGGCCAAAATATGTGAGGTCACCTCATACGAGGAAATCGCAAGCATTTTTTAAACGGTCTGTTTCAGGGTCAGCTCCAGGCATAAGCCACATAAGCGGTTACTTAGGGCCCCTCTCAACTTACTATTGAGAGTAAGAATAGTAGAATACACCAGGTGCAATTTCGAAATTTGGTTGTGCATCAACAGTTTCTCTCGTTATGTCAGTCAATCAATTAGCTGACAATTAGCGATTTCCCTTTTTAGATTGTGTCACGTTGTCACGCCCTGGCTCTGGGGACTCTTATATGTTGAGCCAGGGTGTGGATTGTCTATGTTGTATTTTCTATGTTTTTTGTTCAAGTTCGTGTAGATCTATGTTGGCCAGGGTGGTTCCCAATCAGAGGCAGCTGATTCTCGTTGTCTCTGATTGGGAACCATACTTAGGCAGCCTGTTTTGGCACAGTTAATTGTGGGATCTTGATCCGTAAGGTTTGTGTTTAACCCTAGGACTTCACGTATCGTTTATTGTTTTGTTCGTGTGTGTACTCATTAAAAGAATGTACACTTATCACGCTGCGCCTTGGTCCGCTTATTATGACGATCGTGACAGAAGATCCCACCTCGACTGGATCAAGCAGCGTGACGAGGAGAGAGGATGGACTTGGGAGGAGATGAGTGCGAGTCTGGCAAGAGGGATGGAGGCCTTGAGCACGGGGGAGAGACAAGCCCAATACATTTTTAGGGGGGGGGCTCACACCGTGGACGGCGAGGCAGCGGGAGGCAGCGATAGAGCGGTTCGGCAGGTTAGCAGAGGAGGCCGCCAGGTTACGGGGGCCACTGGTCACGAGGGAGAAGGGTAGTGTAGAGGCACGGCGAGAGGTACTGGGGTGTGTTACCAGTCCTGTCCGGCCTGTTCCTGATTCCCGCACAAGGCCAGTGGTGTGTGTTCCCAGTACGGTCAGGCCCGTTCCTGCTCCCCGCACTAAGCCAGTGGTGCGCGTCGCCAGCCCGGTCCGGCCTGTTCCTGCTCCCCGCACCAAGCCAGTGGTGCGCGTCGCCAGCCCGGTCCGGCCTGTTCCTGCTCCCCACACCAAGCCAGTGGTGCGCGTCGCCAGCCCGGTCCGGCCTGTTCCTGCTCCCCACACCAAGCCAGTGGTGCGCATCGTCAGCCCGGTCCGGCCTGTTCCTGCTCCCCGCACCAAGCCAGTGGTGCGCGTCGCCAGCCCGGTCCCGTTCCTGCTCCCCGCACCAAGCCAGTGGTGCGCGTCGTCAGCCCGGTCCGGCCTTGTCCTGCTCCCCGCACCAAGCCAATGGTGCGCGTCGCCAGCCCGGTCCGGCCTGTTCCTGCTCCCCGCACCAGCCAATGGTGCACGTCGCCCAGCCCGGTCCGGCCCGTTCCTGCTCCCCTCACCAAGCCAGTGGTGCGCGTCGTCAGCCCGGTCTGGCCTGTTCCTGCTCCCCGCACCAAGACAGTGGTGCGCGCCGTCAGTCCGGCACAGCCCGTGCTTGTTCCACCGGTGCCTGGTCAGGTACCGGTCAGCTGCTCCACACCGGAGCCTGAGCAATCCGCTCCAACCGGTGTCCAGTCCAGCTCCGGCCAGCGGGGCCAGACTAGACCAGGGGCGCTACGGAGGGGTAGCGAGAGAGTGGTGGTCCATCGCCTCCGTGCGGAATGCCACCCGCCCCTCCCTGTTGGTTAGTTGGAGCAGTCCCCCTTTGGTGGGTGGGGGTATGTCAGCCCGCTCTGGGGACTCAGCAGGTGTGGGCTATGTTATTTTCTATCAGTTCGTGTAGATCTATTGCCAGGGTGTTCAATAGAGCAGGATTTCGTTGTCTCTGATTGGAACCATACTAGGCACCTGTTTTGGCACAGTATGTGGTTCTTACGTAGGTTTTGTTTAACCTAGGACTTCCGTATCGTTTATTGTTTTTCGTTGTTACTCATTAAAAGAATGTACGCTTATCCACGCTGCGCCTTGGTCCGTTGTCTTCACGACGATCCCTGACCAAAACACGTTCGTTGAAGGACGGATCCGACCAAGGCGTCAGCGTGAACTAAACACAGGGGAACGAACCAAACAAACCAACAACTGTACCGCGAAATCCTCAGGTCTAACACAATACAAGCCTATACACAGAAACAGATCCCCAACTAAGATTGCAAAACAGTCTACTTTAAGTATGATCCCCAATCAGAGACAACGAGCGACATCTGCCTCTGCTTGTGAATCACACCCTGCCAAACTAGAAACCACAATAACTAGAATGTGAACATAAAAATAATAACATAGATCTCCACACCCTGACTCAACATACAAGAGTCCCATAAGTCAGGGCGTGACAGTACCCCCCCCCAAAGGTGCGGACTCCGACCGCACAAACCTGACATAACAGGGTAGGGTCCGGGTGGGCATTCCGCCTCGGAGGCGGATCCGGCTCTGGGCATGACGACCACATTCTCTCAGCCTCCCCGTTGCGCCCCTGGTCTGGTCTGGACCTCGGCGTGCTGCTTCCCCTCTTCTTCCTCCCACGATGCACCAAGCCCTGTCTGGACCCTGGTGTGGGAGACCCCGAACCTGGAGAGGGGCTGACGTCTGGGCCTGGATCGGCAATCCTCCCGCGATGCACCAAGCCCTGTCTGGGCCCTGGTGTGGGAGACCCCGAACCTGGAGAGGGGCTGACGTCTGGGTCTGGACTGGAGCTGCTGACCGGAGCTGGACTGGACCCCGGTGGAGCGGACTGCTCTGGTTCCGGAGTGGATCCGCTGACCGGAGCTGGACTGGGCACCGGTGGAGCGGACTGCTCTAGCTCCAGAGTAGAGCAGCTGACCGGAGCTGGACTGGACCCAGGTGGAGCGGAATGCTCTGGCTCCGGAGTGGAACTGCTGACCGGAGCTGGATCAGGCACTGGTGGAGCGGACTGCTCTGGCTCCGGAGTGGAGCAGCTGACCGGGCACGGGCCGTGCCGGAATGGACACACGCACCACTGGTCTGGTGCGAGGAGCAGGCACGGGCCGGACCGGACTAGGAACACGCACCACTGGCTTGGTGCGGTGAGCAGGCACGGGCCGTACCGGACTGGGAACACGCACCACTGGCTTGGTGCGAGGAACAGGAACGGGCCGGACCGGACTGGGAACACGCACCACTGGTCTGGTGCGAGGAGCAGGAACGGACCGGGCCGGACTGGCGACACGCACCACTGGCCTGGTGCGAGGAACAGGAACGGGCCAGGCCGGACTGGGGACACACACCACTGGCTTGGTGTGGGGAGCAGGTACGGGGCATACCGGGCTGGCGATATGCACCACTGGCTTGGTGCGGGGAGCAGGCACAGGCCGTACCGGACTGGGAACACGCACCACTGGCTTGGTGCGAGGAACAGGAACGGGCCGGGCCGGACTGGCGACACGCACCACTGGCTTGGTGTGAGGAGCAGGAACGGGCCGGGCCGGACTGGGGACACACACCACTGGCTTGGTGCGAGGAGCAGGTACGGGCCGCACAGGACTGGTGAGGTACACTGGTGACACAGTGCGTAGAACCGGAGCAGGATATACTGGACCTTGGAGGCGCACTGGAGACCAGGAGCGTTGAGCCGGCACAACCCGTCCTGGCTGGCTGCCCACTTTCGCACGACAAGTGCGGGGCGCTGGCAACGAACGCACTGGGCTATGCATGCGCACTGGCGATACAGTGCGTATCTCCGCATACATGGGTTCCTCAATTAACCCACGCTCCTTATGTTGCCTAACCAGCATCTACTTCCTCCTTCTCCCTACGAGCCTCCTGCAGTGCCTCCTCTTGAATGGAGCTCTCCCGCTCTATTCTCGCTATCAGCCCCCGTAATGTGGTGGCCTCCTCTCTTACCCTGCAGAACCGATCCTTCTCTCTCTCTCGGCAATCCTCCTCCAGTGAGGACTCCTCCGGGAGCCCCCACGAGTTAGGGAACAGAAACTCATCGTCGTCGTCATCCTACGACTCCTCAGTATAAAACTGTTCCCACTCTGTTCCCATGATCGTAGGGACTCAACCTGGAAACCCACCGGGTGCAGTGGTCGGGGCTCTTCTCTCTCGCTCCCCGACCACCCCTTTAGCACCCCCCAAAAATTATTGGGGCTGCCTCTCGGGCTTCCTCCTCGGCCGGCGCCTTCTGTGTTTCCGTTGCTCCTCTCTTGCCTGGGCATCTACCTTCGCCCATGGTCCTTTCCCCGCAAATATCTCCTCCCAAGACCAAGTTTGCTCCTGGGCACGCTGCTTGGTCCGTGTTTGGTGGGATCTTCTGTCAGACCAAGGCGCAGAGTGAAATGCATACAGTGAGGGAAAAAAGTATTTGATCCCCTGCTGATTTTGTACGTTTTCCCACTGACAAAGAAATGATCAGTCTATAATTTTAATGGTAGGTTTATTTGAACAGTGAGAGACAGAATAACAACAAAAAATCCTGAAAAACGCATGTAAAAAATGTTATAAATTGATTTCCATTTTAATTAGGGAAATAAGTATTTGACCCCCTCTCAATCAGAAAGATTTCTG